TAAGGTGAAGGGTGGTTAACCTTTCTTCAACGTAGAAGAACTTGATGTAAAACTTTTTTACCAAGTCTTCCCATGAAGAGATAGAGCCAGCAGCGTGGTTGGCATACCACGAGAATGCTCGATCTGTGAGGGATTTGGAGAATTCTCTCATGCGGAGGTTTCGATCCTTTCGGTGAGCTCCAAGAGCGTCAAGAATGCGTGAAATATGCTCCTTGACATTCCCTTTTCGTCCGTCAAAACGGACAAACTTGGGTACTGTATATCCTATCGGATATGGAAGACTTGCGATGTGAATAGGGTAAGGGGGACGGAGGTCCAACTCTGGGGAGGCACGGATATGACCTTTGTTCGACTGAAGTAGGCTATGTATGTGCTCTTTTACTACCTCTAATGTTAATGGCTGGGAAGGGTTTGGATCTGCCGAAAGAGTTGGAGAGCCAGTTGAAGCCACTACGGTGGGAGCTCCGCTAACGGATCCAACTTGTGGTAGAGGTATTTGGTTGGGAGCTAATGGAGGGAGCGAGGCGACTGTTTGTCCTCCCGCTTGGGTTCGCGAGTTGTTTTGTGTAGCGAGGTTGGCTTCTGAGCCATTCTGGGCTAATGACGGAGCGCCATTTTGTGATGTTGAAGGGGGGTTAGACGATGACGGAAGTATAGGTGCCCTTTGTAAGGCTAGTAGGGCATCCATTAAGAGTTGTTGGTTCTGTTGAAGAGAGGTGACGCTTTCAGTCAACACTCGTAGCTGATTTACCATGACCGGTTGAGAGGATTGTTCTTCCAAAGAGCCGTCGGAGTTGTGTTCCGAGGTCTCTGCCAGGGTTTCCGTACCGCCACCTTGGGATGTCGCTACTCCAGTTCCAGTGTTCTTTTTGGGTGCCATGTGAAGCGAGCACCACTTTTCCCCAGCAGAGTATAATGTGGGTGAGAGGTGTGGTTAGAGGTAGTCCAGGAAGATGGCGGACACTTTAATGGCCTGAGATCACCGGAGGTGGAAAGGAGGAGATTAAGGCAAGCTTGGAGAGAGAGAGGTTGGCAGTGATAGGCCTTGAACATTAATGTAAAGTGAAAGAGGGTGTTTAACCATGCGACTTGGTTGTATTGTTGTTGTTTCTTGCTGCATATACGATACGTTATATAGGCCACAGGAGTATTGGAGCCCAAGCAAATTGTTCAGGTGGCTCGTTCTCCTCAACTCTGCCAGGAGTGATATAAGCCATTCTGCCGTCTGTGGCTTGACGGTAGGTAGAGAGCAACGTTTCATGGCAGGCGAAAAGTAACGTTTCGTATATGCATCGGATGACATGAACGTAAGGTCATTGTTGCCTCTTCTCCAAGCCTAGTCGAGATGGAGTTGTCTTAGCAAGAACACAACCATTTCGACGATCCCATGACCTTAGCCGCCAATCTAGTATCCTCTGATGATCCCGAGCAGTAGTGCCTGAGTCCTGCTCCCAACCCAGGCATCCAAGTAGGTGAATGGGCTAGGGCCCACCTTAGTGTTTAGGAGAGCCAAGGGCTCGCTTCCAGGCGACCAAGTAGGAGGATGGGCCGCGGGCTTATCTCAATGTTTAAGAGAGGGGTTCGCTTCTAAGCGACCAAGTAGAATGGGCCGCGAGCTTATTTCAATGTTTAGGAGAGCCAGTGTTTATCAATCCAAGTCCAAGCGAACCGGGGGCTGATTGTATTGTTGTTTGGTCTCAGAACGAGGTATGAAAGACCATGGGCCCTGCGGAGCCATGGTGCTACCTGTTGCAGGGTTCTTCATATCTAGATATATTTGGGCTTGTATATATGCTCCTATAGCGACCTCGGGTCTCTACCCGACTGTCATGGTATTCTGGATCCGAATCTTGTTGTTTGATGCTGTCGGTTATGTCTTTCTTCTTTACACCTCTTGAACTTGAGTTTTGGAATGACTTGAGCGTGCTTAGAACAGGTTGGTTGCCTTTCGGTCAAGAATCTTGTTGTCCAGAATTTCGGTCTTCCGTTTGAGCAAGCCTTCTTGTGCTCGAGCGGAGTTTGCAACCTTTCAGTATCGGGTGTCTCTGCAAAAGTGCTGCAAGAGTGTTTTTCACGCTCGAGCGGAGTTTCTTACGCTCGAGCGGCCCTTGTGGCGCTCGAGCAACTGTCTGCAATTTGTGAAATACTGGACGAGTGTAATCCACGCTCGAGCGGTGCTCTTTGCGCTCGAGCGAGTTGTTGTTGTTGTGTCTGACGCTCGAGCGTGAAACTCTCCGCTCGAGTGGACTGTGCATATATCAGATCGTAAAAGTGACTTTTACATAACTTTTTCATCTCTTTTTCATCCAAACCCTAAGTTGAGAGCTTCTCTCTCTAGAAATACTCTCTATATATTTGACATAGATCTAGTGGTCTTCTTACCCTCCTTCCTTAGACAAAAAGATTGAGCTCTTCAAGATCTTTATTTCCATCCAAGAAGAAGTGGGATTTGCATTTTTGGAAGCTTCACCTTTGTCTAGCCCTTCTCCTTGGGCTGCTACTTTGAGGTAGGGATATTCTTGAGTTATATATACAAGTTTTGCAAGATTGAGTATTGATTTTATACTTCTCTTGTATTATTTAGAAATTTTGTTTTTGGATTCAAAAAAAAAATAATGGAATTTCTCAAAGGAGAGTTTAAAAGCTCAAAGATTTTCATGTTGATCCTTAAGATTTTGTATCTATGATCTCAAAAAGTAGATTTTGATGAACTCTCACTATAAAATGAGAGTTATTTTGGTTTTGATGCAAAACCCTAGAATTTGGAGATTTTTGGAAAAACTTGGAATTGTCCATGAAATCTTCTTCTTATTTGATCAAAGATGAATGTGTGTAAATTTCATAATGTTGTTGCATAGATGGGAAGCTTGTCATATGGTAATGGAGAATTTGTTTGGCAACTATGGTTAAGGATATGGTGATATATGATAATAAGATGACAAATTGTTGAGCAATTGGGTTTGTAAGAAACACAAACATTGAAAACTTTAAGTTTGAAAGCATTACATGTAGTCTAGATGAGCATTGAAAGAGGTAATGGGAAACATGAACGTTGATATTATTGTAGAGGCTTGAACATAGAGAAATGTTATGAATCATGGAAGAATCATTGCATTGCATTTTTATTCAATTATTAATTTGCATTGTAAGTTTAGATTTGAGATAATTGTTTCATAAAAGGAAATAATGTTGGAAGGAGAAATGTGGAAATGTTCATGGGGTAAATACGGTGGTAAGTCCAGATAGGGGGTGTAGATGACAGATAAGTTGGCCTGAGTGTCTTTGGTGAAAGACCAGAAACCTGCGCGGATAGGTGTCGAGCCTTCCGGTTAATACTGGTAAAAATGACAGTTTGGTAGTACTCGTAGAGTCTACTTACAGACACCAGCCTAGGAATTATTAGTGTCGTATTTACCACCCCTATTGATTAAAAAAAAAAAAAAAAAAAAAAAAAAAATTGGAAGTTTGAAATGGATGAGATTGCCTAGTATCATTGAAACATGGTGATTTTCAAGTGGTGCATTAAAATGACGTCTTTCTTCATTATGGCATGGCATGGTAACACATTTACATCTGATGTTGAGAAGTTTAGCATAACTGTATATACTTTGTTAGAATTCTCTACTGGGCTTTATGCTCACCCCTATGAGATTTGGCTCAGGTAAAGATGTGGTAATTCCACCGAATTGATGGCGTGGAAATGTTTTGAGAAGAGTAGTGTGCTCTTTATTTTGTCGTGAAAATTTGTAAAGCCAAGGGCTATTTTTGGTATGGGTACGAGAGACCACTTTTGTGTAACCAAGCTATTGCCTTGGAAGATGTAAGCCCATAAGGGCATTTCTTTTATTTTACTTTCACATGGAAGTTCATATGTTTCACATGCTATAGATTCAGGTGTTTTCATATCTTTGAATGTATAATTGCATGTGGAACCTTTGTATAAACCTTGGATATTTTTGAGTCAGAGAATGGAGAATGATTGTAATTGAGGAATATGCGTGATTGATGTATTATTCATGTTTGGTTTATTTCGGGGCGTTACAGCTCCCGCTTAGGCTAAGCATATAGTCTTGGTTGCCTTGGCACATGGCGCCCGTAAGGCTCGCCATGTATCAAACATACGACATGCCTGACGTGGTGCCTTATTGGTCTGCCACGTGAGTGAGGTTTTGGTGATATGGCACCTGTAGGGTTTGCCACGTATTGAGCTTGATAAAAGTACCCACACCGTTCCTTCTACCCATTCTTCAAACCAACTACTTCCAAGAATTTTTTCAACTCTATTATCAAATAATCACAATTTGCATTCTAAACACCAACTAATTATCACCACTATTGGCTTTAGGCAGTCGGTTTATTATGACAAGACTATGCAAACATGTTATTACAAGTTCAATTAATTACACATACCAACTTCTGTGTTCCAACCTCTTGAACTATTGTGTTATTCCATAACAAGGATATCAATGAACTGCCCTAACCCTCATGATACCTTCCATAATGGAAAACATGACTACAATGAATTGGGAATTTGCCACCCAAGAGCTTATTCAGCAAGACATAAAGAGGGCAACAGCCTTCGGATTTTTTAACAGTTACAATATATCATACATGCAGGGGCGGAGGTAGGATTTCTTAATTTGGGGGGCCAAATTAATATTATAAATGTGGACTTAAATAATAAATAAATAAATAAATATCCACTAGCTATAACCATTTATGAAGCAACAAAGATTAAAATTCTTTATATATTAACACCATGATATAACAAAAAGTGTGTTACAAAATGACTATATTTTGTCTCCTTTACTGTAAAACTAACAAAAAGGCACATAATTTCCTATCAAAGTTGTGCTCGATGATGCTTCAGAGAATAGAAATCATCTATAATCATTTCTGAGCTAAAATTTTCTGCGATTTCTTTCTCAATGTAAACAACCAAACAATCTGTAAGAAATTCATCTTCCATTTTGTTGCGAAGGCTAGTTTTTACAATATTCATTACTGAAAATGCCCTTTCTGTAGTAGCGGTTGAAACAGGAAGTGTCAATATGAGAAGAATCAATCTATGAACCAAATGGTAAGTTTTTGACTTTCCCGTTTCAACTAACCCCCAGCATAGTTCAAAAATTGTGGAGAGATTTTGTAAATCCGGATGATGAGGCACATCAAGCTCAAAGTGTTGCAACTGAAATTTCAAATGAATTCTTTCTTGCTCTGTGAAATCTTGAGGATAGAATTTCTCAACAAGAGTGCAAATATCATCAATTTTTAATGAATTATATGCACTCTTGTGACATGAACACATTTAAGCTTCTGATAACCTGAAAATTTTATTTACACATTATTTTTTTTATGAATCTAAACTTTTGATAACTTCAAATTTTATTTATATTACAAGCACATATCATCTTTAACAATATACAAAACATTAAATAAATTCAAACATAAAATATACAATTTATATAAACATATTAAAATTAACAAACATAAAAACAGGGAGACTTACCTTCTATTGAGAAAAAAGGAGAAATACTGATGATAGTGATAAGTGAGAACATGTCCAAAAGCTGGGAGTCATCTTCTCTACTAATCATAAGGAAAAAACCAAAATAAAAATGAATATCTCATTCTCTATTTATTAACTAAATATTTTAATTTTAAAATAAATTAATAAAAACAAAGTGAGTTCATGAGTTATTGAATGTTACCTTTCTTTGTCAATTGCTTTCTAAAAGGTGGGTTTTGCAGTTAAGAGTTATTGGTTCTCCTAGTTCATAGCAGAAAAAAAAAAAGATGAGAAAACCCTTTCAAATGAGAGCTCTATTTTTTTTTTTTTGAACTGCTCTAATCTGAGATGTTTGCTTGTTTGTTAAAGCTCCAAACTTCCTCTACAAGCTTGACATCCCATCCCACCACGTGACTCACTTGTGAGTTGTTACTTGTATCACATGGCTTTTATTTGTTTTTTAATTTTTTTTATTCACAGATATTTGTTTGTGTCATTGGATGAGGTGGGGACCAATCTTTGAAATGGGAGGGAAAGAAGACCAGAGGTGAATACAAACAAGGGGGGTCACTGTTAAGAGATTACATAAAAAATATATATTTAACATATATATATGTATGATTTTTGTTGACTTTGCAGGGACCCCCACTGCATACATGAGACTACTAGTTCAAATTCATTGCCCACAATTTTCTAAGTTTTGAGCCTAAATTCTCAGTTCAAAAGTCCAAGATAAAGCCCCCCAAAAATTTAAGCATGTATTCTCTATTCCATTCGTAAAGGAACATTAATATATGCATAATGATTCAAATCATAACATGTAATTAAAAGAATTGCAAGTGAGAAACAAACCTTTGATACCATTTGCACGATTACTTCTGGATCTGTGTGAAGGAACTTGTGTGCGAATCCAAACAAAATGCATAACCAAGGAACTGTAGAACAGATAATTGGTCAATACAAAGGCCTGCCATCTCCACATGCTGAAGATTGGGGGTTCACCTTTGTTGTATTTTTAGCCGATGTACCAACAACTGCCTCTAGCTCCTTAAATCTTCCAAGCTGATTGTCCAAGGTTCCATATAACTAATCCAAACAGAGGACACCTGAGATGCATTCAGTAAACGAACGAACTGGTGCAATGGCAAAAACAAAATCGTCCTCAATACGAACTGGTGCAATGGCCTCTGAATCCGTGAGTTCCAACAAGCAATAGAATCCACACCAGAAGTTACTGACATAGCATTCCTTGACTTAAAACCATCCGAAGATCTTGATACCAGGACTCTCACTATATTCAACTTGATCAGACACTTCAGTAAACGCAACTGAACTCAAATCCAGATACTTCACAAACAAATTGACAACCTCTCCCAACCCGGAAATGGGTGGAGTCTCGCCAAGAACCGAACGAAAAGGAAATGACCCTCTGAATGATTTGCATACATTTACAGGTACGGGTGAGAACTCGCTATCGATCAACCAAAAGTGTTTCAGGGTATTAACAATGAACTTGGCTTGATCAACAACAGAATTATCATAACTCGAATTGTAATGTAGAAGCGAGCTACGATAAGGTTGGTGTGTATTAACAAAAATTGGCACAAATGCACGAAGATATGAATAAAGAAGGCGTAAATACAAACCACACTCAACTTTCTGCTCTGACCCACCACGCTTATTGCTCGATAATCCTGGAAGTGAAGAAGCCCAATCCCCAATCGAAACTTTCGACACCTCCGAACCCTCACAGTACCAGAATTCTCACTATTTCCTCTGCATACAGAGTAATAAGCAAACCAGAAAATGAAATACTCAAACGCAGTCAATTGAACTTGAAACGAACCCTTAATTGAATCTTCCTTGATCCTACCTTTACACAAGGGACACAAATCCGCCAAAACTCGGCAATCTCGCTCGTTCTGAAGCAAAAGCCTAACCCACTCAGGCAATTGCTCAATCGGAAACACGTTCTTCATCAACGAAAGACGATCGACCGCCGAAATCGAAGACATCAAGACACCATTCAGAGAGGAGGATGAAAACCCTAGAAGCGAGCTCGGAATCGACCGAGTCTACCCAGCCGGTTGGCGACTGGGGAGGCCGGTGAGGTGGCGACTCGTCGAAGCCGAAAGTTTTGCAAATGCGTTTGGCTGTTGATAGGTTCACGGGGGTTCACCATAATTTCGTTCTCATAATCGGAATCGTTAATATATAGAATTTGTCCGATTCATATGTAAAATTTGTCGAGAATTATATTTTTATAAAAAATTATATTGAACTGTTATTAATAGTTACATAATTAAATTAGTTTTGTATAAAAAAATGGACGATAAAAATTTAATCTGTTGAAATAACTATCGATATCCGATCAACGTGATTTTTTACAAGTATATAATATTCGACGAATTTTATACATTGAATGATTTAAATTATCGAAGCAGGTCTCATGGTGGGCCCCACAGCCCGACAAAACCTTCCAATTCAATCACGGACTAAAGAAAAGCCTTTGCAAATTAGGGTTGGGAAAGTGATATATGCCTTTTTCATTTAAATATAAAATTCTACATAATCTCAATTTTAATTATAATAATTAATTATATATATTTTCTTAAATTTTTTATTATATATTTAATTTTTTAAAAGATTGACCAATAAGTTTTATATTTTGGATTTATAATCCATATAGTCTCATATTTTTTTCTTGTGATCCATCTAGTCATTTTTGATATGTAATGACTCATTTACCTATCACATTAAAGTGTCACATTTGAAAAAAAGTATATTAATGAGTTTTTTAGTATCACATCATACATGTTACGTTGGAGTGTCATATTTGGGAAAGTATAATAAAGAGTTTTTAATTTTTTACAGTGTCATATCATACCTGTCACGTTAGAGTGTCACATGTCTCGTTTGGAAAAAGTACATTAATAAATTTTTAGTTTTTTTGGAGTGTCACATCATACCTACCACGTTGTCACATCTGGAAAAAGTACACTAATGAGTTTTTGGTTTTTTAAAAATATCACATCATACTTGCCACATTGTCACATTTAGAAGAAAAAAAAGTACAATAATAAATTTTTTACGTTTTTGGAGTGTCACATCATACCATCATGTTGTCATATTTGAAAAAAGTACACTAAGAAATTTTTAATTTTTTGGAGTGTCACATTATACCCGCCACATTGTCACATTTAAAAGAAATATACTAAGGAATTTTTAATTTTCTTTGAGTAAAAGTTTTAGAATGTTATATTATACTCGCCATATTAGAGTGTCACAATAATATCTGCTACATTAGAGTGTTACATCATACATGCCACATTAATAAAAAGGTATAGTTGTCTATCAAAATACTCCCAAAATCCAAAATAACACACATGGAACGAAACTCTCCACTAATAGGACTTAACAGATAAATAGAAAAAAATTGGGACTAATTGCAATACTTGTTTGTGAGATGGGACTAATTGATAAATATCCTTAATTTTTTGTTATCATTTTTTTTGGGTATAATTGATATGATATTTATGGAAACAATTATCTTGATATACAAATAAATAAATAATATAGAATGTACTTAATTATTTGCATCGCACGAATTAAATTAATTTTCTTTTAAATTTGAATTTTTTATCTATCTTATTGATGTCATAATATTAATTCATATATAATTTTTTATTTAATATGATATTATTTATTACAAAATATTTATATTTAATTTAACTTTTATATACCTATATACAATAGGAAAATTTACCAATAAATCCCATTTCACAAACTATTAAACCAATTAGTCCCAACTTTATTCTTTTGTTCGGATAAGTCCTATCAGTGGGGAAGTTTGTTTTTTGCTGATCCTATTTTCCATATTTAGTGTAACTGCGTGGACGATTTTACCCATATTTGTTATGTTTTTCGCCACCAATATCAAGATCTTATATATATATATATATATATACCAATCCCCAAAACAGAGTTAGTTGTGACAGAGTGAGACCACAAGCAAGGCAAGGCAAGGCAAGGCAAAACCCAGAATTCAATCTGATTTTCGCTCCCATGGAGTGGGTTCGAGGCGATTTACTCGGCCATGGAAGCTTCGGAACAGTGAATTTAGGAATATCCAAGAGTCAGAGCCTTCAATGTATTCACGAGAATGGGTTTGTTCACTGTGATCTCAAGCTTCAAAACGTTCTTCTATGTCAAAACGATGTCGCGAAGATCGCCGATTTTGGTTTGGAAAAGAAATCGGGAGAGAAGATCGTGGGTTTTGAGTTGAGAGGTACGCCGATGTATATGCCGCCGGAGACAGTGGTGGCCGGACAGCAGGAGGCGGCTGCGGACGTATGGGCTTTGGGGTGTTTGGTGACGGAGATGGTGGCCGAAACAAATAATTTAACTAAATTTATTATATATAAGTATTCAAAATAAATAATTACATATAGCACAATAGGGCAAAATTTATTACACTTCTATAGCACAATAGAACACTTCTATATCACAATAGAACTAAATTTATTATATATAAGTATTCAAAATAAATAATTACATATAGCACAATAGGGCAAAATTTATTACACTTCTATAGCACAATAGAACAAAACAAACAAATAATTTAACTAAATTTATTATATATAAGTATTCAACTAATACTTTTATAGAACGATAAGACTAAGATTATTAAAATAAGGTAAATTACATTGACACCCCCTGAAGTTTATGTTTATTATAGTTCCCTCCTCAACTTTTGGAAATTACATCCCCCTTCCTGAAATTTAAAGTTTCATTGCAGATTGCTTCCTCAGATTTTGTTGATGTCAGTAATTTAATTTTTTTTAAATACCAAATTTTCCCCCATTGGGTAAATTACATTGACACCCCCCACATTTTAGAAATTACAATCCCCTCCCCAAGGTTTAAAGTAGCATTACCAATTGCCCCCTTGGTTAGTATTAGTTGGAAAAAAAAATTCATTGAAAAAAAAATTAATTGGAAAAAAATTTAATTGAAAAAAAATTAATTGAAAAAAATTTTTGTTAGTCAAAATTTTAAATTTCTGTTTAAAAACCAACATAAACTCATTTTTTGAATTTACGTTTTTTCCTCAAATTTACAAACTGAGACAACTATTTATAAACCAAAAAAATTATCAAACAAGTTTTTATGATGGTTTTTTAAATTTTTGTAAATATAAATTGAAAGCTGAAAACAAAATGGTTACCAAACAGGCCTCAGATGGTAAAAATGTCGTAAAATTAACAAATAATTAAATAAGTTACTAACGTAAGAAATGACTTATCAAAAGATTCATAAGCTATGTATGGTTTGATTTTTAGAAATTTTTTTAAAAAACTTAAAATTTAATTTGGTTAAGAAATAAAAAATAAAAAATAATTATCATTTTTATATAGTTTTTGTCTTTCGAGTGGTTAGAAATAATTTTTTACAAATTAAATATATTTCTTCATATTTATTTTTATTAAATTAGTTTTTTTTTTTAAATATCAGGAGGGATCTGTATTAAATTGAAACCGCAGGGGGTGTCAATGTAATTTACCCTTTAAAGTATATGTAAAGGTTAAGCATAAATATGTCATTTTAACTTAAAAGTTAACACCGTCAAATAATTACACTGACAAGGGGGGTCAGTGTAATTTTCCAAATGTGAAGGGAGAACTGTAATAAATATAAACCTCAGGGGGTATCAGTGTAATTTACCCTTAAATAAATAATTAAAATTAAAATTAATATTATTTTTTTGTAACACGTATCATAATATAAAATATCATTACATTAATTAAAGTTAACTCCATTGTGATTTTATGTCAAACATCATATTTCTATAAGTTATTTAAATACACGTGTAGCGTCCAATTTGATATGAATTTATTAAAATAATAGAATTCAATACTTCTTTTGTTAAGTTTTTAGAAAATAAATTAACAAATGTCAAATGGTAAATATTGTAAAGTATCATTAAAGAATAATGATTGATCGAAAATGATTGTGTATATTTAACGCACTTATTGATGTTTCTTGAATAATTTTTAAACAAAAATTTTGAATTTATTGTATTACTAATAGTGCACGTTCATGAGCTTTGCCAAAAAAGATATTCAAGAATAATTTAGCTGAAATAAAAATTTTGCGATTATTGTGATGTGTCACATAATTAATCAGAATCACTTTGAGAACTGAAATTTAAGGCTATAGATTCCCTTAGATGACACTGTTTATGATTTGAATTTATAATTTTTTATGCATCAATGTGAATAACTCTTACAATCTTACTCATATAAGCATAAATACTACTTTTGAGTCAACCTACCTTACGCACATTTTCATGTAATAAAATACTTAAACATTGTCATATAAAAATATTATAATAGATTATAATCAGACACTATTTGAATCATAATTAAAGACCCGATGCACTACTTTAAACATAACTAAAAACATAAGAAATTAGCAAAAACCTTCTCGATTAATAACCAAAATAATACAGTATTAGTAATAACTAAGTCATAATTTGCATATTATAGAATTTTTCGATATTTTTATTTTTTCAGAAAAAATATTTTGATACAAGTGGAATTCATGATTGTGGTACATTTGATTAACACAACATTTCAGGTTGAGAATACACTTTTTTAAGTTTTGAAAGAATCACTGTGTTTGGTTTGAGTTTTCTGGATTAAGTTTTTTGAAAATTGACTTTTTTGGTTTTTGTGTGTTTTTTGTTTTTAGTGAATATTTTTAAAATTTTAAACATTTTTTTTACTTTTTCAGATGCACCTTACTTAGATGTATCTAAAAAGTAAAAAAATTGTGAAAAAATATTTTAAAAAATTAATAAATACATAAAAATACAAAAAAGTGTACTGAATTCTTATATTTTTTTTGTATTTTTGGTATTTAGTGAATTTTTAAAAGATTTTTTTTACAATTTTTTTACTTTTTAGGTGTATTTATGTTAGGTGTGTCTAAAAAGTAAAAAATTGCTTAAAATATTAAAAAAAATCAATAAAAACAAAAAAACACGAAAAATAAGAAAGTAGAATTTTCTGAAAAGTGTTTTGGAAAACTGGAAACTAAGCAATTGTTTTTATAAGCCTATTTTACATAGGATCACTGTAATGAGTTGAATCAAATTGAAGTTT